TCATTCACAATATTTCCCCCTTTCCTGACTCACCACTGAAAACACACCCACTAGACAGGCTCCAGGGGAGAAACAGCGGCGTAGACGAAGCCAGAAACTGTGGGGAATTTGCACGCTGCGTTGGCATGCTTCCCTTTGCATTTCTGGAGTGATCCGTGCCTTCCAGACTTGAGTCTACACGAAAGAGGCTCACTATCTGCAGTGAGGAACAGCCTGGTTACTGAGTGCTCAAGGCCGCCCCGCCTAAGATGATAACACAAGGCAAAGGAAGTGGCCTTGGATGGAGAGGGGGCTCAGGGGGCACACACAAGGGAGCTTCAGAGACTCTGAGTTGGGTCAGAGGGATGCCAAGTCAAGGCTGCCCAGAGGGAGGACGTCCAGAGAGGCTACTATTTCAAGCTAGGACAGCAGCAAGAATGATATCTGCAAAGTCCCGGACGTTCAATCTGCCCCATGATTTCACAGCTGCCATCTCTTTTCATGCCCTCACAACTCCGTGGAGTCAGCAAGGCAGATTTTACGTCACTTTCACAGAGGGGCAGAATCCAGATGACGCTTGGAGACGCCAAGTGACTTGCCTAAGAGCCAGGCAGTGCAGGGCCAAGCTTCCCGATTTCTAGCCCAGGGTTTGTCTCCCACAGCCTGCTTTCTCCCCAAAGCATAAAACCGCCATCACCAGGAAAGACAATTAAATGGGAAAGAAAAGAAGGCACAAGTAGGTTGTCATCGTTTTTTTCTCTGTGCTTTGGACAAGTGGGTTCCCCTCTCTTCCATGAAACCTTTAAAACATATTTATGGTTATTTCACAAGGGTACGGTGTGACTGCTAAAAATAAATCACGGGGCGCCTGGGTGGCGCAGTTGGTTAAGCGTCCGACTTCAGCCAGGTCACGGTCTCGCGGTCCTTGAGTTCGAGCCCCGCGTCGGGCTCTGGGCTGATGGCTCGGAGCCTGGAGCCTGTTTCCGATTCTGTGTCTCCCTCTCTCTCTGCCCCTCCCCCGTTCATGCTCTGTCTCTCTCTGTCCCAAAAATAAACGTTGAAAAAAAAATAAAAATAAATCACAGCGATCCAAATGTTTTCCCTGTCTAGAATTACCTGTGTCTACATGGCTGGGCTTATACTGGTTAGTGGATGGCACCTTCCTCTCATACAAGACTCTGGATCTACTCCATAATTTCTCATGAGCACAGACTGAGAAGGAGAGAACCAGTAAATGTGCTGTAGAGAAATATGGATGTTGTAAGACTCCACAAGTATCTTTACAGATATCAAACAGAACACCCGGTCTCAAAAGTCTGAAGGAGGAAATGCACAAGAAAAATATAAGCATTGATGTGGACTAGTAAAATCCAGATTTATCTTTACACAAATTGAAAGACTTTACAGAATCAGAAAAATCAAAAACACTGATAAAACTATGGGTGGGATGGGGAGGGGTGAAAACTACAGATTTGGGGTCCTTTTACCTTTTTTCCCAGTAAAGCGTAATATTTGAGGTTTGCTACCTTGATGCACAAATTTTTAAGAAAGGAATTCAGAAATTCTGCCTGGAGCGAACTGTCAATATTTTAGGAAGGAACAGGAAGAAAAGAAAGTCATGATTAATAATGAACCCATTTTGGGGCGCCTGGGTGGCGCAGTCGGTTAAGCGTCCGACTTCAGCCAGGTCACGATCTCGCGGTCCGTGAGTTCGAGCCCCGCGTCGGGCTCTGGGCTGATGGCTCAGAGCCTGGAGCCTGTTTCCGATTCTGTGTCTCCCTCTCTCTCTGCCCCTCCCCCGTTCATGCTCTGTCTCTCTCTGTCCCAAAAATAAACGTTGAAAAAAAAAAATTAAAAAAAAAAAAAAAATAATGAACCCATTTTAAGTGGCTTATTTTTTTTTAACTTTTTTTAAGTTTATTTATCTTGAGAGAGAGAGAGAAAGAGAAAAGGAGAGAGAATTCCAAGCAGGCCCCACACTGTCAATGCAGAGCCCGATGTAGGGCTCGAACTCACTAACCATGAGATCATCACGTGAGCTGAAATCAAGGGTCAGATGCTTAGCCGACTGAGCTACCCAGGCACCCTTAAGTGGATTATATTTTAATGAACAAGCAAATATCAAAAGCAGAAGCAGATTGCTGAGCCCTATCAATTGATTAAGATTCCCACAATGAACGTGTTTTAGTCACCTATAGCAGCTGTAAGACATTTTTAAATATTCACAATTAGCAAAATGATTACCTTATTAGCTGTCAATATTAAGAGAGGAAAAGTTAATCTTGTCCTCAAAGACAGAAGTTATTTTCTTTGCCTGCCTTCCTCCCTTCCCTCCCTCCTTCCTTCTTTTTTCTTTCTCTCTTTCTTTCTCCTCTCTCTCTCTTTCTTTCTGCTATTAAATAGTGACAACACCCACATAGGAAATCTTCACCCTGGGCTTACCACCATTTAAGCGGTACGGGTTTCTGGAAGCCCAAATACACGAATCAGACTTCTTCCTCCCTAGTTCACTTATTTATCATTTCTACCAACAATCAACATGGTAGATTCACCTGTAAACATGTGGAAGACACAGATAATGAAGTGAGCACAAGCGTTGTGTCTCAACCAGAAAGAAAGTCGACCGCGTCCATATGCTCCACTCTCTGACATTACGACGTTAAAGATCTCATTTCACCGTACTAATTATCCGGTACGTGTCACCACGCACCAGTTTCCAGAAAGAATGCATTAAGGCAGTAACCCGTGTATATGCAATTCTCATCTATCAAACTTGTTGCGCATCCAACACTAACTGGTCAATTAACCAGAACCAGAGAGTGCTTTCAACAGACATATCGAATGATTGATGTCGGCCAATGGGCTTAAAAGGGCAGGTCTGTCCTCCCGGAGTTCCTGATTTAAGAACCTACAGGTAGCTCACCCCTCAATTACACATAAAGAGATCAAAAGATCACTGGCATTACAATGCAGTATGCCCTAAGGGCCGGATGATGGCCTCAGTAAGTGCTCCAGCGGTCCAAAAGGAAACGTTATGGATTGGTGTGGTTAGAAGCCACACGATAAGGAAGAACGAACTTGAACTAGGCCTTGAAAGATGGGCGGGCAGAGAAAAATCCTGTGCTTGTCCACAGAAGGGGTTGGTGATTTCTGCTGCTGTGATCCATCATGGGTAACACCAGCCCAGGATGGAAATGAAATCATACATTAACTCTTAGAAGTTATGCTAGAATGAGCTTCTGATTACTGTTTTTAATATTAAGGGTCTAGAGGGAGGTGTTCTCCATAAGTTATTAAGACTGGCTTTTGAGAGTTCAAATGAAGAGTCAACACATGACTGAACAAAACCCTAAATAAACAAAGTCACATAAAGGAAAGAGAATGGCTTCCAGGACATCGGGTCCAGTCTCCTCCCTCAATGCACTCATGCATGCATCGAATGAGAGAATAAGCTTTTACCGTGAGAATTCCCGGGCAGCCGGGAAAGATACTAATGGAGGCAGGACCTAGTGACGCTCACTTACCTCCGGGTCTCCAAGAAAGAGGGAACGTCAGCAAAGGATATTTGTGCATTCCGATGTCAAGGAAAGAGCTTCCTGGTGTGGGACACAGATGCAAACTTGCTTCCCCGGGGACTTTGAACATTCCTGGCCTCTTGCAAGACAGCTGCCCCCGGGGTGTTCTCAGCCCGATATTAAAGGTCACATCTACCTCGTCCTGATTGCAAACCTACACACAACTTGTGATTATGGTTTATCGTGGAGACAATGGGCTGGTTCCTGTGTAATTTCCCATTGCACTAGTGTATCTTACTAGCACTATGAGGTCAAACCACTGTCGAGAGAAATAGTCCTTCGAGTTGGCCTCAGAGAGAAGACTTAAGACCGTGACTTAATACCACTTAACTTGCGGGGGGTCGGTAAGGTACGCTGGCTGCCGTGTGCCACCCTTACGGGAGTCCTCAGGCGGCTGGGCGGTGAAACACTGACAAATTCCTATTCACTGGGTTACACATCAAAAGGCTAAGAGCGTTTCTACTGTTCCTTCCACCATCTCGTGTCATCAATGACCCTACCCCAGGACAATGAGAATATGACGGTTATCAACCACTGTACGGTCCATTATACGGACCTTTTTCTTTTTCTCTCACCAATTTTATTCAGCATTGTAGGAGAGGTTCCAGCCAGTGCAAAAGACCAAGAAAAAGAAATAAAAGGCATACATTTTGGGAAAAGAAGCAGACAACAAGATCCTGTATTTATAACACCCTATGGTTCTTAGGATACCAAAAGCACAAACAACAGGACCAAAAAACGGGACAATCAGACTTCTTCAAAATTAACAAGTTTCGTGCGTCGAAGAGTACCATCAAGAAAGGGAAAAAACAACCCACAGAGTGAGTTTTCAAATCATATCTCTGACAAGAGACAAAATGTCCTTACAAGTCAATCATAAAAAGGCAAATAGCACAATTTTAAGATGGGCAAAATACGTGAACGAACATTCCTACAAAGAAGATATCCAAATGACCAAAAGGCACATGAAAAGATGCTCACTGTCATCAGCCACCAAATCAAAACCAAAGTTAGATACACTTTACACACACTAGCACGGCTATAATAAAAAAGACAGGGCACTTGGGGGGCTTGGTCGGTTGAGCCTAAGTCTTGATTTGGCTCAGGTCATGATTCCAGGGTCATGGGATAGAGCCCTCCACTCTCAGTGCGGAGCCTGCTTGAGATTTTCTCTCTCCCTCTCTCTCTGTCTGTCTATCTTTCTCCTCCTCTCTGCCCTTCTCCCCCACTCATGCTCTCACTCCCTCACTCTCTTTTTATGGACTCCATCAGTGTGCTCCCCATCCTCTGGTTTCTGGCTGAGGTACGGGGGGTTCCATACAACGGAACACAACAACGGTTGCACCCTGCTCCATGCAGAGAGCTCATATGTTGCTGACACCTTGCAGCAGAACAGACAGGACCAGAAAATAACGCCACCAGCTTCAAGACCCGGGGAAAGCTCACCACATAGAGCTTGCGCCAGATGACAGCCCATTCTCGCAGGGTCGACGTGAGCTCCTGCACCAGTGGGAGCTCACCAGGGATCACGGTCTCGTGCTGCCTAAAGAGAACCAGACAGAGGCTCGTGTTACTCTGGGTCGGTCATCCCTGCTTTTCTTGACAGAGGTCATATTCCCCACAGGTCAAAGACGGGAGTGGGGCTGGTTAGGCTGGAGACAAGACAAAACTCACCCGTTGTGGGGAAATTTGTTTGGAAGACTTTATTACCCCTAGGCATCTGAGGGAAAGAGAAGGACCTTACCGCCGCAGCTCTCAAAAGGAATCGTTTCTGCAATGAGATGGACCCATGGCCCAGCCTGGACTGCCCCATTTCGGATCGTTACAGGAGCAATGGTTATCAGCCACTGCTGGCTTCGGTGATTCCGAGGGATGGAAGCCCCAAAGCCAGTATTTTAGCTCGTTCTGCCAAGCAACCGTTTCATTAGGGAGAGAGGGTGAAGTGTTCATGGCACAGGGGTCGTGGGGCTTGTAACCTCAACCAGGACCTGCTGCTAGGGACCGAGGCAGTGCTCTCTTATGAAGTGATGCTCAGGATTCTTATCTGCTGCCTCGCTGCACTGAAAACGCATACAAACCAAACTCCTCACTCGCTCACAGGAGACTTACAACAAAGCGGGCCCGATATCTATTCGCATCAATCCTCTGCTATTTTTATGATGAGCAAAAGGAGAAAAGGAGAGTAAGGGCAAGCGAACAAATGGCAAATAGTGGTAGGATTGCCAGACTTAATTAAGACTACAAGACGCCCAGTTAAGTTTGGATTTCAGACAGATTAAAATAATCTATAATCTATAATCTGTATTATATTATATATGTAATATATATAAGACATGTAATATATAAAACATATAATTATATAATTAAAATTATAATATTTACTATATATAAATTATATAATATATATTATATATAATTATAATAAATATATCACCTATAGTATATATTATGTTTTATACATTATTATACATTATATTATGTTATTATATATTGATATTTATTAATATTAATATATATTATATACCATGTTATATTACATAATATATTATATTATACATCATGTATTATATAATGTATGTTGTATATACAATATATATTATATATGATATATACGTATATATAATGTATATATACATATATATGATATATACGTTATATTATAATTGTATATACAACATATATAATATAATATATGATATATAACATATATAATATAATCTAAAATAATTTTTTTAGTACAAGTATGACTCATGAAATACCTGGGTCATATTTACTGTAAACAAGTACTTGTTGTTATCTGATTTTCACCTGGGCACCCTGCATTTTTACCTGTCAGCCCTAGTTAATGGGATCATGCCTCCCTGCGTGCCCTTTCGCCAGCGTGACAATGGAGGCTTCCCCAGGGATGGCCCACTGGAAGGAAGCTTCTCCGGAAGGGCAGGACGCCTGGTTTTCAGCCTTGGTTCTGCTACTGAAAAGCAGCCGTGTGAACTGGGGCATGTCTCCACCTCTCGTCTAAAAAACACGGATGCAGAACTTACGACTGAGACTGTCCTTTGATGCCTTGAGCCTGCGTGACTCTGATCCGTTCCACTCTCTATGAGCCCTGGGATGCCAGGCTCTCCTTCCCTCCTTAACTCTCCGGCCCCTGGGCTCACCAACCACACCGTGTCTCTCTCTTCCACTTCAGGCCGAGCGTCTTACTCCTCTTACTGGCCACAGAGGAAGTACTTTCCAGGACACACGGCAGGGTGGATGAAAAACAGGAACATCCAAAACTTGATGGATATTATCTGCAGGCCACGTTCAGACACATTGTTTCATAATTTTACATTAAGCTCAACCAACGTAGGGCCAGATTTATCGCCCCCAATCTGCACTGGAAAAGTCCAAGGTGCAGTGAGTCTACCTGACTTGTCTAAGCTTTAGTGCTGGTTACTGTAGGGATGCAGCCTGCCCATCTCTGTCCCAAGGGTGACAAACTGGGGGCTCTCAGATCTTACCCGCAAAAGAGTGCCAAAGCTTCACGTATGTGCACACATGAGCACGCAAACACTCAGTGAGCAGACAGCACAAAAGGAAGGTAAGGGCCCTTCATTCATTCATTGCCCGTCTTTAGGATTCTAGGGAAGGATGCCAGGGAGGAACAATTGTAACAGAAAGAACCACGTCAGGAAAAGGTTTTTATTCACTTCCCTCTCATATGAGAAGAGAGAAATCCTGCACAAAAGAAACTCTTTAATGATAATTTGACATCTTCACCAACTTCTAGGAGCCTTCCTGGAATTGGAACTTACCCTCGGTCTTCCACGGTTGCCTCCTTCAAATGGATATACGTTTCAGGGAAAATCCCCTACAGAGAGAAGAACTTTGGTTACGTGGCTATACGAAACTCAGCGTAAAGAGCACAGAGAGCATCAGGAATGAATGAGGAAGAAACAGGATGCCTGGACAGTGGCTAGAGTTTGCGGCCAGGCTTGCGGGAGGCCAACCATCCTGACTGACACCTAAACGAAAGCATGGCTGAAAAGACAGAAATTAAGAGCTGGGTTCCCAGAGCCTAGGAGAGATGCTTCCCCAGTGGACAGGCAAACATGTCCGGGTCAGCTCAGGGCCGCAGTAATGTCAAGGACTTTCACAGTGAGATCCTAAAACCCTCCAGATCGTACCATGAAATGCTTCCCTTTAAATGGCTTCACATAATTAGTGACATGGAGGGCTATGTACTTAGTGGCCCATAAAATTACAGTGATTTTCTAAAACAATCCCTGTCAGCACTTTTACTTAAACCAAATGTGCCCCAAATCAATTAGTTCTAATTATCCAGTCTCAAATGGCTCTCCATTCTATATTCCTAAGGGGCGATTCTCCATCGCTATTGTGACACTGCCCATGGGAGAACCAAGGCCCAGGCGGACCCCAGAGAAAGACTGGAAACCAATCAGTAGAAACTGAAGAAGCGAAGATCAGATCTAACCACCAGAAAGCAGGTCATGGATCTGAGTTTTCCTAAATGCCAGCGGCTTCTATTGTTTCCACTGGGTGATACGCTCATCAAGAAATGGAGAAACTGCTATCTGAAAAAGGCGTTGCGGCTCTTTGTTTTAAGGGCAGTGTGCAGGCCAGACCAGTAGAAGTCGGAAAAGAGCTCATTTAATGGGCAACCACTGGCCCAACTGCTCCCAGCCCAGCACCTGCAAAGGTCAGTGCGACCCGGCAGACGTCCTGTGTCGGGAGTGGCTGATCGCAAAGGTGGGAGAGGAATATCCTCCTACCTGGGGGACCGGGTCAAAGACGTGTATGTACCCAGGGATCCTTAATGCATTCAGTGACCGACCACTGGGGTCAGCGTGGTGTCCGGTTTCGTGTGCTGTGTTTGCCTGAATAATACTCTTCTTTCTCCATTTTAGCCCTTTGTCAACAAAACAGGAAACAGCAAGAAAATCTGAGATGGAGCTGTTCCCACAAGTGGTGATGGCAGGACAGATCCTGCCACTGCTTGAGTCAAAGGCAGAATGGCCATCCTTTCCTGCCAGGCAGGAAGAACCCCCCAAACAAGTACATTACCTTCCCCTCCACAGGGTGTCTAAGTAAGAAAGTACCACGCCAGTCTGTTACTGAGCAGCCCCAGAACACACACAGGAGCAAGGGGACACTGACCTCTTTCATTACAGAGGAAGGACTCAAAGTCATGTTGGGAAACCGATCAAATGGTTAAAAACAAACAAAAACGGGGAGCAGGAAGTCAGCAAGTGATGAATCACTTAAAGCAATAGTTACGTGGAGCCATATTTGTAGGTTAAAATGCGATGTAACACTGCTAATCCCAAGGAATATCCTCACAGCAGATTTTTCTCATCAAGGAGGGTAACAGCCCAGCTACAATTTTTGGGCGTTCGTAATCTGATGACTGGTCTCCTCCCAATACCTGGGAGAAGTCCAAATCAAAGACAGAAGCATGCGAAATAAAAACAGTGACTTATTTTATAACATCTAAGCAGACTACCAGCAGATGACTTATGCTAAATTTACAGACCTGACGGTTTTCCTGTTAACAGAATATTTGTTTCGTTGCATTACCACTCTGTTCTCTGTAGGCATCCTCCCTCCATGAGAGCATATGCCCACCTACGGCCATTTGATTGCTCTGGTAAATCTGAGCCTTGTAGAACTTTTCCTATGCCCATATGATACACAGAAAGGCAGGATGGGGCCCCTATGCGGCTCGGTCAGCTAAGCGTCCGACTCTCGATTTCAGCTCAAGTTATGATCTCACGGTTCATGAGCTTGAGCCGCGCGTTGGGCTCCTCGCTGACAGCTCGGAGCCTTCTTGGGATTCCTTCTCTCCCTTCCTTTCCCTCCCCACTTTCTCTCTCTCTCTCTCAAAATAAATAAACTTAAAAAAAAAAAAAAAGGCAGGATAAACTTGGGGGATAGGTTACTGATTTAAAGCCTATCTCATTTTTGGCTTTCCTTTCTCATTGCAACTTAACTCACTTCAGTAAAAAAAAATAAATAAATAATGACTTTCTAGATATTGCCCTTATCCACACTTCCACAATCATGCAGGGATCAATAATCAGTTTCTGCAAAGCTCTTGGCTTCTTCAGTTTGTAAAACCACAAGCTCGTTTTATCACTGCTCTAAATGGCTAGGTTGGCTGATAAATGACACCCAAAATTTCCATTAAAATAATAGGCCTTTCAAAGAGTTCCTCCCCTAAAGACCGTCAAAGGCAGGAAAACAGCATTAGAAGGGCGTTTCAAATAGGCTGGATCTCTTAATGAAAGGGAGTCAGAAGCTCAACATAATTCATGATGACTATCTGAATTCCCTAGATTCTTCCTGGAGTTCTCCACCAAGAAGATACTTCAACTTAAAAATCAACAAGTAAATGCCAGGTCCTTGTTTGTCCTCCCATTTCATTGAAATGCAACCTTGAATTATCACCGACTTAAAAGAAGCTCTTCCTGAAATCATTCTTCATAAGGCTGAGATTTAAAGTTTAAGGATTTTAAGAAAATGAAGACAAAAAAAAAAAAAATTGAAAAATACACCCAGAACTTGTCATTTAGATCCTAGCAAAGCACTCCATTCACTCTTCAAAGACGACAAGGGCACTAGTTAAGACGGATTTTGATCTATTAGGACATCACAGGATGCCTTAGAAACCGTGGTCGTCTATGCGCAAAAAGGATCCTCACATTCTGTAACTCTCTGAAAGGGGAGAGTGTGGTCTGGGAGCTTGTTTCAACATGATTCACAATCACCAGTTAAAAATCAAGAATTGTGTTTGTTCTTTAAGTTCATATGACCATATCTGAGAATGGGTTTTGGCTCATTTTTTTTAAGTTAGCATTTTTTTTTTTTTAAAGATTGGGGGTTAAGTGGCATAAGTATTCTTGCTCTTTAATAAACTCAGAACTTCAAAACTGTTAACTCCAATCATGTTTTGAAATAACTATCGTTTGGGGCGCCTGGGTGGCTTGGTCGGTTCAGCGTCTGACTTTGGCTCAGGTCATGATCTCACGGTCCGGTCCGTGAGTTCGAGCCCCGCGTCGGGCTCTGTGCTGACAGCTCAGAGCCTGGAGCCTGTTTCAGATTCTGTGTCTCCCTCTCTCTCTGCTCCTCCCCTGTTCATGCTCTGTCTCTCTCTGTCTCAAAAATAAATAAACGTTAAAAAAAAAAATTAAAATAAAAAAAAAGAAAGAACTATCGTTTGCTCTAATTGTGAATAAAATAAACACTGATAGGGCTGACCCCATACCAAGTGGCAGGAGTGTCTATAAACCGAGTGCAAAGATCCTAAAAGGACGGAAGCTCTTGGATTTAGTCTTATCATGCTTTCATTCACACAAGAACATCCCTGTCGTACATCTGGAAAACTTAAAGTCAGCAAGAGATTAAATGAAAATAGTTAAGCTGGAAATGAAAACATGTGGCACAAGAATCAAACTATGGGCAGAAAAATTCAGCATCAGGATTTTGGGCGGGATAAAAAGAACCAAAATTGTGGGAGTTGATACTCGTGTTATGAGCAAATACTCCTTTATTTTGGAAGATTACGAAACGGTCAAAGGTAACAAAATGCGTGTGTGCGTGTGTATGTGAAAATACTGCGTATGACATAAAAGCCAAATATACAAAAAGCCTGACCAAAACAGTGGTTTCTAATGCCCTACACTTCGTAGAAAGGGGCTTCTCTACGCGCTGAGCTCTCTCGAGGGTTATGTGCCCAGATTACTTGTATCTCATGCTGTGTTTGAAAAATAAGAACTGTGGGTTTTGGGTTGTTGTTGTTGTTGTTTTGTGTTGTGTTGTTCACTTCAATGATAAAATCTGAAATGTTTCTCTTCCCCCTTTCCTAATGAGCTATTTTGCATGTGAACTAACTGGGAAATACTACGGCCCTAGCAACTCTGTTCTTTCAAAACAAAGTGCTGACTCCATAGGCTCCAGAGGGTGCTGCGTCAAAGGAAAAGCACTGACCAGACCTAAAATTAACTGAGGGGGGTATTAACATAACTAATAGATTTTCTTCAGCTTGCTGATGAGTAGTTTTGGCACTGGGTACAGGAACCTGCTAGGGTCAGTATTTTTCAAACTCTCTGCCCACGATGAGAGACATTCTCATGGCAACCCGGTACTTAACTATACATAAAATATAATTTAAAATACAGAAAATACATAAACGTATGAGCCGCAAACAAAAGTTGCATGAAACAGGATTTGTCACAGTGTTCCATTTTCTTTTCTACTTTTCAGAGTTTTGGTTCTTGGAAAACAATGGTTAGTAACCCACTAAGTTGATTTCATGACGTATTACTGGGGTTGGGAGGTTCCCGGTTTCGAAACGACGACGCTGGCTTATCCATCTTGTGATAAAGGATAGAATCAAGCAGAAATGGGGGGACGCTTTAGTTCTGGGATGTAAGCATTGGAGCCCAAGGATTAAGAAGAAGCACGGGTCCCCCTGAAAGAGACAGCCAACAATAACAATGTCACTGTATCACCACCCTTTTTAGCTTGAGGGACAGAAAGCAAAATGCCCGACACAGTGTGTGAATTCACCTCTGGCCTCTATCCTTGAGGTGGCAGGTAGGAACACGGCCAATGGGACTTGTGCCATTTTACCTAAACATTGAGGTCAGAGAATGTGTTTTCAGGTCTAAAGAAGAACCATCACAGAGAACACAAACGAGGTCTAGAGACAGCAATGAGCAGAAAATGATTAACACAAAACTAGCAGACAGATTCAGATTAAAAATGGAATGATAAACCATACCTTTTTCGATTTATTTTGGAGGGTATATCCTCTGTACCAACCTGTCAGGGCATAAGAAAACAGTCTTTTATGTTATCTGAGATAATATAAAGACATCAGCAATATGCATCCTCCTATTCTATCAGAGCATTGGCCTGGAATCCAGGGGGCAATTGGCAGACTATTTAGAAAAAGTGCAGTTTGGGTTTATTACACGGCCAAAATTTAGATCTATATGAGAACTTTATTTTCTCCATAGGTAATGGATTTAGAATTCAAATAGAATCATGACTCATCTCCGCTCCTTTAGAGAAAGGATAGAACAACAACAAAACAAGACGGAAGGCAGGTCAACCTCATAATATCTTAATACCTTAGTCATTCATTGTTTTTGCATGAATGAATAAGACTTTCATCAATATGTATAAATTCAAAAGTCATCCAACACTACTAAATAAAGTAAATACTTTAATAATTTATATAGTCTTTCTCTTATCTAAATTCTCAGGTGAAGAACCACTATTCTACAACAATTAAAAAAAATTTTAATGTTTATTCATTTATGAGACAGAGACAGAGCATGAGTGGGGGAGGGGCAGAGAGACGGAGACACAGGGAATCCGAAGCAGGCTCCAGGCTCCGAGCTGTCAGCACAGAGCCCGACGCGGGGCTCGAACTCACAGACCGTGAGATCATGACCTGAGCCAAAGTCGGACGCTCAACCGACGGAGCCACCCAGGCACCCCTCTACAACAATTTTAAATGGCAACAGCGCATCTCACATACACAAACATTTGCACCTAAAAAAGTTGAAACAAACAAATCGTAAAACAATGTTTTAAACAATTCTTGGCAATGCTATATACACCCCCAACAATAGAAAAAAACAATTGTTTGCTTGATGAGGCTTTGAATAAAGGCTTTCACTTCTTTATACAAATTTCAATAAATACACATACACCAATGGATGCTTCTCTACCCTCTATCTGGTAGAGGGAATACACAATTTAATCTGTCCATCAACAGATAACTTACATTAAATATTTATTGGACACCTACTAGAGGTAATTTACTGTAATGATTTTCCTCATTCCCCACGTCCATCAGGCATCAAGCTGGTCATCTTGCCTAAGTAACCCCGGCTGTAAGTGGAATATATGTGTAAAGCAGCCATATACATACAGGGAGTAGATGCAAACCGTACTTAAAGCTTCAGGCATCTGCCAACAGGGTTCTAGAACCCTCTTGTAATTTGTTCCATGCGAAATCGCCCAGAAAACAGACGCACAATCTGTTCCGGGTGTATTGCAAGAAGAAAGCTGAATTTGAGCACAGGGTTAGCAACATTTTCACAAGTTTCTAAGCTGTCAGCATTCAAACCTTTAAAGGATTCGGCTATACTTTTTTTATGGGAAAGAATAGGGTCCTATGTTGTGAAAGCGTTCCAGGTTCGTATCAGGGCCCAAGGTTGGGAAAAAGATATTTGAACAGGAAACCCTGCTCCCAAGTTAGGATGCCAAAGGGCACAAGAGAGCCAGCTGCTAGAACACCAAGCCAGACGTCACTGGCTGGTTTTTTCTGCCACAGGACAATGCCTTCGCCTCAGTCAATGGCTTCAGCCTCATCCTGGCGTGGGGGAGGGGCAGGCAAGCTGAGAAACAATAGTCTCTTCCAAGCACTTTTCGTTGCCCTGTGTCCTACCAAACCGAGATGGAACCGTTTGGACTTTGCTCCACTGTCAGAGAGGAATTTCTCTGTACTTCTGTAAACAGTATTTTTGTGCAGCCATTCATCACAGAATTATGCTTTCTAAACCCGTCATTTCTGAAAGCCTTTTTTTTTTTTTTTAAACCTCCTAAATCTTCTCTAGAATTGTGGTTTGCGTCCAGCCCCCAACTACAGGCACGAAATTATCACACTGAATTTATAGCACGTTCATTTTGCTTGGTGTTCGGCGGCGGCACAGGACCCTCTCTCTGCAGTTTTCGTGTCACTGTCAGGACTCCGTAAGTTCACCTGCTAATACCTGCAAGGGATATAAATAAGCAAGAACACCGTTTTCCAACTGATCCCAATATTTAAGACAAGAGAAGCATCATTAAAATGGAGAGAATGTTGAGGATGGTGAGGCCAGAGAGCTAGTCTTACCTATACGTAGGTGAAATGTCAGTCTCAAACAGTGAGTTTGCAAGCCTGTGAATACACAGAACAGATTGGTGGTTGCCCGGACGCAGGGGGTGGAGGTGAGGGCGAAATGCGTGAAGCGAGTTGAAAGGTACAAACTTCTAGTTATAAAATAATGAAGTCACGGGGATGTCATGTGCAGCAGGACAACCATCGTTAATGATACTGTGTTGAGTATTTGAAACTTGCTGAGAGAGTAAGTCTTGAAACTTCTCATCACGAGGGAAAAGGGTTTCGCAACTACTATGCTCATGGATGTTAACAACACTTACTGTGATGAACAGTTTGCAATAAACACAGATATGGAATTGTTATGTTGTACACCTGGAAAAAAAATGTTGTGCTTCAATCACACCTCAAGAAAACAAAAGCAGGGCGGGGGAGGGGGGGGTGAAGAGCTTCTCACAACCATGGTGAACACCAAAAGCGATTCCAGGCAAAGGGTGGTTCTTCCATTCGGGCACCCAGTCATTTCTGTTTTCCTGGGACTGCCCCAATCCAGGATAAAAATCCGTCCCCTCCGAAACGAACATGCCCGAGAGTTCCAAATTCCACGGGCAAAGTTGCTTCTTTTATCCCGTAGATGTACACATCATCTACGCTGATACAAAAAATAAAAATACAGAAATAAGATGACCTCATATAATGGCAGTACTGAGAAGCGTTCAAGGAGAGGAACATGGCAGGGGATGACTAGTAACAGGGTACATTACTTTAGATAAGGTGATCAAGCTTTCCCTGAGAGAATCGGAATGGAACCAGTCATAAAATGGGAGAAGGCAATTAGAAGGTAGTCCGAGGGAGGCATGATTCTCAACCCTGGCTGCCCATTAGATTTACCAGAGAAATTTTTAAAATGCCGATGCCTGAGCCACATCCCCAATATTCTGATTTAATTGACACAGGTGGGACCCAAGCCGAGCGCTTCTAAAAAGATCCTCGGGTGATGCTGATGTGCAGCCAGGATCGATCGTCAGAGCTATCACACGCCATGCAGGAACTTTGTTTGTTTTCTAAGCACAATGGGAAGCCATCAGAAGGTTCTAAATGACATCACCATGCCTTATGCTTTGAAAACGTTATGCTGGCTCTTACATAAGAATGGACTGTGGGAGGTGAGACATCGTGGAAAGAGGAACCTCAGGGAGGAGACTAGTAGGTAAAGTGAAAATGGGGAGAGATGAAAAGATGCTGGACCCATTTTGAATCAACAGGCGTTGCTCATGATTTCGCTGGGAACAGCCATGACCCAAGGGATGAAAGGCAAATACTCAAGGGCATTCAAATGCTGGGTTTAAGCAACCGAGTGGCTACAATTAATTCTTCGGGATAGGGAGATTGAAAGGAGGAAAGCACTGGGGAATGGGAGGCAGATTCAGGACATGTAGCTTGGCCCTTCTGCTTCCCTTCCTGAGCAAGTAAACCCTGAGCCATTTCGTAGGACAGGGCAATTTAGGCATTTGCAAGGGGGGTGGGGGAGGCCATCCACACAGGGACCAGACTGGCAGGGCGTGTCAGAGCCCAGGCAGAACAAAGTACGCATCCATGGGGACTGGGGGATCTGCAAGAAGGTGAAGAGAAGGGCATCCACGCCCAGGCCGTGGGGATGGGGAATGGTGAAATGATACGAGTTATCAGAGAGAGGATAGGCTGAGGAGAATCTCTGTGAGGGAGAAGGTGTGGTAATCGAGACAGATTATTTCCATACTGCGGAACTGATGAAATCGGTAACTATAATAATGTACTGGACTATTAATACTGGAAGCCAGGTTTCTTACTCTGGAAGGGAGTTACAAGAAAGGAGAAAAAACTAGAATGAACTCTGAGATGCCGGACTGGAACTGAAGGTGCCCATGTGTACGCGTGCCTTCAAAAACAGGCAGAGAGGTCAAAATCAATGGCTGTGTTAACCTGTATTTATACACTCACGCCCGTTATCCCTAGCTCTGCTGACACCTACTAGCTTCTTACTTTTCTAACCCTGATACAGATGATCGCGAGCTCAGAAAAGAAGCTATGGAACTGGACTGGAGAGCAACCAGTCCAGGATGAAGCAGGAAGGCAGAAGATTCCATGACGAGCAAATCCAGGAAAATGAGTGGAGCTGCAGGATCATCTCGTTTGTCTGAACATACGAGGAGGAGCTAAATACTTCTGTCAGGAAGTCTGGATCTGAAAAAGAAGCAGGTCCACAGAGCACCACGTAAAGAAGACACCTCTAGAGAAACATTATTCAAGACGGGAAATGCAATCAAAGGACATTCCACAGCATCCGCTGTTTCTCCTACATAGACCCAATCATCTAGATAATAACTTTTTAAAAGAAATTATATTGCATTTATACTGGGAGATCTCTCTTCGGCACAGACAGGTATATGCGTGGTTGGTGGGGAGTGTAAGAGAGTTATATCCTTATCTTCCGTAAGAAGCAGTTACGAAACAAAAATGCAAAGGGAAATATCAAGTAACAGAAGCACGGTTCTTTGGAAATGAAAAAGCATGTATACTACAAAAACTGGCCGAAAGAGTTGAAAGCGGAACCGGAAACCAAGAGGAGGTGTGACAGGACTGCTGTTTATCATTATAAACTTGCTAGAAACGGCCTGGCCTTTAAAATTATATGCATTTCTGACAAGGATAAAATTGAAAATTAAGGGTAAAACGTAAAGCTGATAAGCCCTGGTCAGCCAGGACTAGGCAAAGGCAAAATTATAGGGAAAGAAAACAGAACAAGGCTGAGGGTGGCGTTGATACAGAGGGACGCTGGCGAATTTGGGGGGACGGAGGGAGGGGGTGCAGATAGGACTGTTCTGTATCTCGTGGTGGCATTTCCTGAGTGCATGCATTTGTCAAAATCTGTGCTCCAAACAGGATGAAT